TATCAACATTAGAGGATAAAGTTGAATGGGATTGCTTAAGCACAAATTATGAGAAAATTTTTAAAATACAGGAATGGAATAGCAGGAAATGTGGGACACCATGAAAAGACCAAATCTATGTATCATAGGCATGGAATAAAGAGAAGAATTTCAGGTTAATGGTATTGACCAGATCTTAAACAGGACTGCAGAAGAGAACTTTCCAAAATTAAAGAAAGACATCCCCATACAAATACAAGAAGCACATAGAACACCAAATAGACAGGACCAGAAAAGAAATTCCCCATGGCATATCATAGCAAAAACACTAAATGTACAGAACAAAGAGAGAAAACTGAAAGCATCAAAAGGAAAACAACTCACATATAAAGAAAAATCCATCAGAATTACAGCTGACTTACCAGTGCAAACTATGACAGCCAGGAAAGCCTGGACCAAGGGATTTACAGATCTAAATGACCATAGATGCCAACCCAGAATACTTTACACAGCAAAAATGTCTATTATAGTTTAAGGGGAAAGAAAATCTTCCACAAAATGAATAGGCTGAAGGAATACACGTCCATAAAACCTACCCTTCAAGGAATACTTGAAGCAATACAAACAATGGAGAAAGGAACAACTATACCCCAGGGGCAAAAGAAAGAAATTCAATGAAGGTATAATTGTAGACACAAAATTAGACAATGAAAACAGTAAGCAAAATGATGGCAACCAATACCCATTCTTCAATTATAACTTTAAAAATCAATAGCCTGAACTCCCCAGTCAAAAGAAACAGGCTAGTTGAATGGATTAAGAAACAAAATTCATTTTTCTGTTGTCTGCAGGAAACCCATCTCACATTCAAGAATAGGCACTACCTTAAGGTGAGAGAATGGAAAAGAATGTTTCAAGCAAATAGCACTAAGAAACAAGAGGGGTTTCCATTCTAATATCTAACAAAATAGACTTCTAACTTTAAAAAATTCATAAGAGACAAAGAGGGCATGTACAGGCTGGCCATCTGACAACGGAAGATGCACTGGGGCAAGATTTGGTTTTGCGACTCAGAATATGGTGACATTTAAGACTTATAAATTGTTTACTTTGGGGATTTTCATCGAATATTTTCAGGCCTCAGTGGTCTGTAGGTAGCCAAAACCACAGAAAGTACAGCTATGAAGAGGAAGAGCATTTCACATAATGGAAATGTGTTCGGATCTCCAGCTCTGTTGTCATTTTGAAATTTCTTGATGTCACGATGTGGAGGTCAGTCACCTTACTTCATCACCAGGCAGGTACTATATTACTTCACATCATCACAAGAAGAGGAAGAGCAAATACAGGACATGGGTTTTTTGAGAGATGTTCTGCAGTTTTATCATAACATGTTATTGTTATTATTGTTCTATTCATTATTAGTTTTATTTGCGTTTTACTGGTTGCATATATTTCATTATGCCTAATTTATAAACTAAGTTTAATCATAAGGCTATGTAAGAAAAATCATCATTTAGGGCCTCTTAGTCATTTCAGGCTTTCACTGGGGCTCCAGGAATGCAGCACTCAATGAAAAGGAGGAGCTACTTCATCCATGGAACATACAGATAGCATACGAAAGAGTGAAAGCATTTAGTACCTGAACAATGTTGTTCATGTGTTATGCTTTAATTCTGAGATGTCCCCACAGGCCCATATTTTGAGCATTCTCTATCTGATGCTGCTGGATGGAACCTTTGTGAGGGGCCTAGCTGACAGATGCAGGCTGCTAGGGGTGGGCCTATGAAGGTTCCACTTCCTCTGTGTCCTCTGTGTCCTCTGGTTCCAGCATGTGTCCTCTGTGTCTTTGTCCAGTCACCACATGAAGAACTCTACTACACACTCCCTGTTATGGCTTCAGTGTGAAATGTCCCCCACAGGGTCTTTGTTTGAACACTTGATGCTCAGGTGGTGATTCTGTTTAGAGAAGCTCAGAAACTTTAGACATGAGATCTAGCTAGGACAGGTGTTTGACAGGTCTAGCCTATCGAAACCTAACGTTTGCTCTGAGCAATCTGCTTCCTGATCTGCTAAGATATGAATAAGCCATGTGGCAAGTTCTCACCATCATGGACCTATCCCAACAGCTATTCCCTTCCTGCCATGATGAATTAATGCCCCCTAAACTTACATGAACCAAAGTAAGACTTTATTCCCTTGTGTTGCTTCTGTCAGGTGTTCTGACACAGTGACAAGAAATTAGTTCATATGCTGTGTCACCACTTGACATCATGGAGCCCTACAACAAGTAAATCTTTCACAGAGACCCAGTTTCTTCCTCCTACCATAAAGAAAAATTAGTTTTACATGGAACAAATCTTAGATTATAAAGTTAAAAATGTGAAATTTTTAAAAGAATAGTTAGGAGTCTAATATTGGATTACAAAAAGAAAAAAAATACTGGATTCGCACAAAGAAAAAAAGAGCTTAAATCAGGAAAACAAGAATATCTGTGACAAAAAAAAATGTTTGAACAATAAGAATTTCATGTTACTGGACAACATACAATACTATGAAAATTTATTAACTATGTGTAATAGAGGTATCTTCCTCAATGTAAATCCCTTCTCCCTTATCTTTTGTAAAAAACATTATTGGATTAGGAGAAATTATGATTATATGCATGAATCTTTGTATTAATGGTTTCTGGGGAAAAAAAGTATGCTGTGTGACTACTTTCAATTGTTGTGAAATAAGACTTATAATCTCATAAACTAAGTTCCACAATGTCAAAGATACAATCAAATGTCACAGATCATGCCACAAAACATGATAATTTTGAGGCAGCACAGATGTTAACTTTATTTGAGCAGGCTTCTAAAACAAGCAGCAAAGGCATGCCTGATGAGCACACTCAAACAAAACGTGAAACCACACAGCTCAGCAAGAGAACCACGAGAGCAACGAAGAACCCAACACAATTAGAAGAGAAAATAACCACCCCAAAAATGAAATAACCCACAAAATGAAGTGTTCCATGGGGGAAAATTGTGGACTTTAATGTAAACCAAGAAATATTACTCATTATGAGCAACAAGAAAAATAATAGAATGATGTCAGGGATTATGAGGTACAAAGAAAAAAGTCTACTATATCTATCATTGAAATTCCAGAAGAATGAGATAAGGCTGAAAAAGCAAAGAAATAGTGAAATTTTTTTCTCAGATTTTTCCCAAATGTACATATTCCAGAAACAAAGTAAATTCCAGACAAGATAAATCTAAATAACTTCATGCTAAGTCAGATTATAATCAAACCCAAAAACTAAAGGAAAACCCTTGAAAACAGAAGAGAAAAGTGGTGCCGTTATTGCTTGCAACCCTGCACAGCCTGAGCGACAGTGGAGGCTCTCTGAGGCCAGGGAGGGAGGATACAGATTCAGCCTGATTCCCACTGGGAATCTTAACATACAATTCTCAGACGAAGGAAACAAAAATGAATTTTCCCCTAGCAGATACACTCTAAATAATGGCTGAAAGAGCCCTTGAAATGGAAGGGAAGTAATAAAGTAAAATATTTTAAAATAAGGAAGTAAAAAAAGTGAAAATATGAATAAGCAAAATAGAATTTTTTTCTATTGAGTTTTATGAATTCATAATGTTGATAGATGTAATCCTTAACTATTTAAAGGAAGTATTTAGGACAACTGCACTATGATCATAGAAGAGTAAAAGGCAGTGAGCTTTCTACATTTTGTCCAACCTGACAAAATGCTGACGGGTGATAAACAGTGCTGCGCACTTCAGGGAGGAACCCCTGAAGCGCTAAACCAAGAGTTATACACTCAAAGGCAGTGTGGGGACTGCCGCTGCCAATCCGTAGCCTTAAAAAATGGAAGAAACAAGAATGAACTCTACAAATGGTTGAGGTAACCCACAAAAAGGCAGGAAGAAGAGAAAATAATTATGACCTAGAAAACAAACCAAGCAAACAAAACACAAAATGGAATGGAATAGCATGTCGAAATATTCCTGTGTGTAATATAAACTACCAAAGTATTCCAATTACAAAGGAGAAGTTAGAGTGTAAATATGTAAAATGAAGCCCTTGGGTATTTTCAGGATAGGGAACTCAGGGATGCTAGGCCTTGATACTGAAGAATGGCAGGAGTTGCATGCTGTAAAGGGCTGAGACGAGCACTGCAAATAAAGAAGCAAAAGAAAAGCATGGGATGTGAAACAGCCCAGGAAGAGCATGACGGCTGCAGGCTGCACCTTCCTCTGGAAAAATTTTGAAAGACAAAATATTAAACAGGAGAATTGCTGAGGTCAATCAATCCACTTAGAGGTGTCCCTCAATGTAGGATGAAGTTAGGTCCCTAGAAATCCATCATAGCTGAAAATGCTGCATCTCAGAAATCACTGAATACACCTCACCCCCGAACTTCTGGCTCTTACAGTGCTCTGAGGCCCATACTGCCCTCCTGATTACCTGGCTGTGAACCGTGCTACTGCCCCTGCCTAGTGTGGAGGAAACTCATCTCAACCACCTGGGAAAAAACTGAGTCAACATTCAAACTATGGTTGTTACTGAACGCATATCTCTTTCACACCATTGTAAAGAAAGAAAATCCTAAGTAAAACTATCCATCATAGGTCAAATTTTGTCTGCTTTTTAATGTTGCTGTGAAGGCTGCTAAAAAAAAATATTTTTTTTTGGTCTTATTGAGACAGGGTCTCCCTGTAGTGGGACTGGCCTTGGACTCACTATGTCATCCAGGCTATCCTTGAACTCACAGAGATCTTCCTGCCTCTGCCTCCCAAGTGCCGGGATTAAAGGCATGCAGCACCAAGCCCAGCACTTCTGTTATTTTTATTGAAACCTTGCTTACAAGTTGTGTAGACATTCAAATCAAAAGCGAGGTCGTGTTAAGTAGCAACAGTGCAGAAGCTGACAGCAGTGTTAGAAAGAGGTGCTGAAAGTGACCTTTCATTCTTGTGTGGTGTCCTCTTACGAACTGACAACTGTCCCTTGTGCAGGCATCACCACGGTGCTTACCATGACCACACTCAGCACCATCGCCCGGAAGTCCTTGCCTCGCGTGTCCTACGTCACTGCCATGGACCTCTTTGTGACCGTGTGCTTCTTGTTCGTCTTTGCGGCACTCATGGAGTATGCCACCCTCAACTACTACTCAAGCTGTCGAAAGCCAACGGTCACAAAGAAGAAAACATCGGTGAGTGGTAAGGATAGCCAAGGTTTTCTGAGAGGTGAGAAGACATTTTAAGGTAAATGTGTGCTGAATACTGTTGTATCACAGAGCCTCTTATAAAATTCAATAATGAGGTAGTTGAGGCAACAAGGCTTTGAAATCTAGACCAGGGTTTCCCTCTCCAGTTCAACATCATCAACAGCTGGTGTTGGGGATAAGTTGGGCATGCCTTAAAGACTGCAGATCACCACAATGACTTTCTAATTGCTCTTTTTTTATGCAGTTATTACATCCAGATTCCACAAGATGGATTCCTGAGCGAATAAGCCTACAAACACCTTCTGTATGTATAATTGCACAGGTGTCAATATTTATGAGAACTTTGACCCAATTAAACTTGAATTGAAAGATATGTTCCTTATGAATGCCTGCTTTGAAGTCCAATGATTGCTGCACTTGAGCATTAAAAATGTTTTCGCTACTGAGAAAAAATCAAATTAGAACATTTCCACACAGGGAGATGATGGGCATGCATGCTTTGGCTTTACTGTAGGAATCCAAAGAAAACTAAATGCTGAGCTATACATTGTTGTATAAGCTCACTGGTAATTAGTTTCTGTGCCATAAACATTTCCTGGCCAGGCTCTGGCTGATCCACATCTTTTCAACCCCCCAAAACAGTATTCACTGTCATTTTGCACATATAAACCTGTGATAATTTACTGTAATAAACCCCAAGAAGCAGAATGACAGGGCCCAGTGGATCGCCTGCTCTTTGCCGAATGGCATCACAGCAGCTCTGGCGGTCTGCCAACACCCACCTCTTCAAAATCCTCATTTGTTTTAACAGCCAAGCAGAAAATACCTTCACTTTTTATATTTTATTTACATTTCTTTTTATGAGATGCTTTTTAATGTCTTTTAACTTTTATTTGTATTTTAGCTGCTTAGCCATCTCTCCACTCCAAAATTTATTAGTATTTTAAAATAACAATCCAGCAGTTATGCTACACACAGACGTACGTATGTGTGTCTGTGTGTGTATGCATTATATAGAACATCTGAAATGTATTAGTCACACATAGAATACATTCTATATTGGGGACAGTAGCCTGGTCTCCTGACTTACTCTGGCTTTTGCTCCTCACTGTCACTGTATGAGTCCTTTCTACAGCACTGTTTTGAAGCCACATGTCATCAAGCTGCTTGTAAGTCCTCCTTCCCCTGAGAATACATAACACCCTCTTGCTTTCTTTTGAATGCTTTTGAGAGTGTATATGTCCAAATACCAATTCATTCTATGCTCACAACAAATGAAAATTGAAGCATGGAGAAATTAAACCTTATAGATAGTGGTTGCTGTAATGAAAACTGAGAAATTTCATTTTAAATCACTGATGTATTTACCACTTTCATCATGTAACATGTCTTATGTGGCATTATTCCTTTATTTATATTCATTCCCTAGTTACACCGAGCATTTCATTCCCACAGGTGGCTTTCTAGCTATTAACTCTGCCTTATGTTTCATGCATCTCAGCCTGTTTTTATAACGAGACTGTGAAATCTGCACTGTATAAATAGGTATCCTGGGGGTTCTGGCAGCAGAGTAGTGGGCAAGCCACTTGTCAGTCATAAGAAGTCAGCACATGGTTCCCAATAGCATGGAAGCCATAAGAAAAGAGAGTGCTGAATGACAGATGCCAGTCAGGACAACATTTTCACACACAGCCAAGGACCTGGGGATTGAAGGAAAATTCTAATGTCTTTGGTGTAAGAATGATGCTGCCAAAATAAAGGAAAATAATCCTTTAACACAGAGAAAAAGGAAAATTTCTCCAAACTTGAAGAAAAAAATGTGGAAAAAGAAGAAAGTTCAATGACCTAGAAGAAAGTATAAAGGCAGTTTAGAACAAAGGTGCCAGGCCAGGTGAGAAGACAAGTCAGGAAGCTATGCAGCCAAAGCTTGGGTAATCAGGGACAGAGAAGGGAGGGTTAGGGGAGGGAGAGGGGGAGAGAGAGAGACAGAGGAGAGAGAGAGAGGGAGAGAGAGATGGGAGAGAGAGAGAGAGAGAGAGAGAGAGAGAGAGAGAGA